TACCAAGCTTCACACTGTCCCACTTTTTCCTTTTTCCCACTTCTAGACATACCAACAACCTTAACACCATTGTTAAGACCATTGGGACCCATGTGTGCCAAATCTCAGAGCCTTTTTGTTCAAATAATTAGGTAATAATTGACCCATAAATTTTTACTATTTTTACTCCTCTTTTCCTTCAATTTATACCAAATTTATCAACTAACATTACAATAGAGAGAGAGAGAGAGAAGAGAGAGAGAGAGAGAGAGAGAGAGAGAGAGAGAAATTACGCTCATTAATAAGGTATTTTTTCCGCATAGATAATTGATAAGAAAGAAAAAGATAAATTGCCGATAGGGCAAAAATTGAGACCTTACTGAAGTTAATAGTAAACTCCAGCCAAATTTTATGACGCAAAAGAAAGATGTGGAGTAAAATAGTTTTTTTTTTTTTTTTTTTTTTTTAATGGTATTTGGAAAAGAATTAGTCATCATCCTTTTTTTCTTTTTCTTTTTTTTTTTTTAGGAAATTTCTTTGGCGTTCTTTATTTTTTTAAGAACACTGGTGTTCCATATTTATCAATCATTAGATATGTATTATTTTTTCAATTTAATTTAACTTTTGATTAAATTTAATACAGATCCGATGTCTGATAAGCAGGGAAACCGATATTACTATAAAAAAAAAAGCATCAAACAAATTTCTTTTTTTTTTCAAAAAAGTTTCTTTTTTTTTTTAAATGATCCAGTTACCCAAAAAGAGATAAGATTAGTCACTCCTTTTTCAAAAAAATAATTATTTTCTAACATTAGTGAATGCAAGATTCAACTTTTTAGATCCTTTTCAAAACCTGCTAAAAGACTTTAACAAATGAATCAACTAGCTCATTCAAAGTCATACTAATTAATCAATAATTAAAACGTATAGTCTTGAATGGTTTCACTTTTTCTCTCTGATTTTTTTTTTTTAATTTGATTAAAGAAGATTCGAACATTATACATGGTAGTGTGACTAAGTTCGCAGCCATGAATAGATTTTGCATTTGGAATAGTCTATTTTTGGGGTTTGAATAAGGGAATATTATTAGTTTGGTTGTTCAAATCAAACCAAATCAGATTACACTTTTAAGCATGGTACTCAATAGCAACATTCTTTATTTCTTCATTCAAAGCTATGCCGACATAATCATTTTGTGTACATCTTAAGTAGGCCATTGTTTCAAGCCAAAAAAATGTATAAAAAAATACATTTTTTTCTTATTCACTTGGAGTCCACGTAAGCTTTTCTATTTTAAGAATGAGAAATATTCAGTAGACTAGATGTATCGCATCATCATACTTACGTAGTACACCAATTCAATAAGACCTCATTTACTTTGCGGATTCGAATTTTCAATTCTAATTGAGATGTGACATTTTATGAGAGCTTTTTATTATAGCAAAAAGTTAGATGTGATATTTTTTGAGAGTTTTTTACTATAGAAACTTAAAACTTAAAACTCAAATCGGTGAAATGAACGAGGCCTAAAAGTTTTGACTCGTGGATTATTTTTAATGTTCATCTTGTCTAATCATTTTCTCTCTCCTAGTGTCTTTTTCACAATTATTATAAACGCTACACTTAATTATCATAAATGTTAAAGTGAAGGCTTCGTTTATTTTACCGATTCGAGTTTAGAATTTGAGTTTTGTTATAGTAAAAAACTCTCAGAAACAATCACATCTAATTTTTTTGTTACAGTAAAAAACTCTCATATAAAGTCATATATCAACTTGAATTAAAAATTCGAATCAGCAAACTAAACGGACCCTAAATCTCCTATATTAATCAATGATAAATATATTTTTTAACGTTTTAAAAATATAATTTTCTACATTTAAATCCATTTAGGAAATTGGTGAAAGAAGAACAAATGTGACAACTTATTAAATATGAAAGCAATTAAAAAAAAAGTTTTTCGTGTGAAGTACGTTCTGAGATGTTGAGCAAGAAGATACATCGAAGAGAAAAAATGCGCAAAAAATTCTATACTTGGTATTCCAACAGATGTATATATAAGAAAGAAAATGAGATATTTTATGATCATAATATCTGTTTTCAAAGGTAGGATATTATAAATAAATGAAGCAGTTGATATTAGTTACTTATTAGTAATATAATATGTGCGTATGTGCGTATTTATTTTAACGGACACACTTCTGCAGCAAAAAAACATTTAATTTAATAGAAAAACTTCTTTTACGATATAGAATATATATATATATATATATATAGAGAGAGAGAGAGAGAGAGAGAGGGGTAATATGATTCGTTTTCTTTCACAAAACGTTTATTAACATGCTAACTAGTATCTTTTAAAGGGTAGAGAATAACATTTGTAAGTAAAAATGATATTAATTGCAATTAATTAATTAGTCGATTTAGGTGTAGTATTTTAATAATTATAACTAAGCAATTAAAGTAGAGTATATTAAGGCTCCGTTCATTTTATTGATGTGAGTTTAAAATTCGAGTTTTGTTACAGTAAAAAACTTTCAGAAATAATCACATTTAATTTTTTTTATTACAGTAAAAAGTTTACATAAAATTACATATCAATTTAAATTAAAAATTTAAATTAACAAACTACACAGATCCTAGTGTACTAAATAATTTCTCCTTAAGAACTGCAACCTGTGAATGTATATTCGCCGCCGTAATTTCTTTAATAATTTCAAAACAAAAGCAGAACTGGGTTGTCTTTATCAAGATTCGCACAAATTGTAAATATAAAATAAATGAAACATAATATTAATGAATGTTCCTGAAAAACATCACTATCACTATAGTGCAACTATAAATTGAGTCCACATATATTTATATATATATATATTTATTTGGGCCGTCAATGAAAAATGTCCAAGTGAAATGAACATATTTTTAATTGTTCCCCTTGATGGTTCCTAGGAAGTTTCTGGCTCGATAGGTGCTGAAGTTTGACCATATATTCTGTTTTATATGCGGTTGTTTTCCAAGTATAGGTTTATATTATTATTATTATTATATTATTTTTCATCCAAAAAATACATAAAATGAAATTTCAAATCAACGGCCAAAGTTTAATTTTTAAAATATCCAATATGCGGTGGGCATATTTGCCTAGGTTTTCTGCTTTTTTTATTTTTAGTAAAAGCAAGTTGTATAGACTATTTAGTTCATTAAAGAAAGTACCGAAAAAAACATAGTACAGCGAAATAGTTTCTGTCTTCATCATCTTTTTGAGGTATGACGATGCAATGTTTTCGTATCATATGGATTATGGCTTGCTCTTCTGTGATCGCACGTTTAATTTTCTTGCCTACGTGCACGTTTATTGTTGATGAAAAATATTAAAGAGCACCTGGTGTTAAGTATCATATGCTCGGATAATTAATTCCGTGTTTTAAATCTTTAAAGATCGTTTGGTTTATACGTTTAAATTAGGAGACGTTTAGTTCATAAATTAGAATCATGATATTATAACCATTTTTTATTTACGTGTATTTTTTGTGAGAAAAAACACTGTAGCGAATCATGAATCATGATTCGAATCCGGGTACGAATCCCCTAACCAAACAACCCCATGATTCTTAATTTTAACATTTGAAATTTAAATTTTTTATGAGAGAAAAATATTGTAGCAGAATCAAAACTATGAATTCAATGATCGTTTAGTTTATACGTTTAAATGAGTGATTCTTAATTTTAACATTTGAAATTTAAATTTTTTATGAGAGAAAATATTGTAACAGAATCAAAACTATGAATTTAAACGTGTAAAATAAATAGACCCATTCACATAGTGTTTGATTCTACTAAATTTATAGGTATCAATTCAGGTTACATGGCCCAGTCTGGTGGGAAAGGCTGCGAATTAAGAGTGTTTGCAATCTGTTTGAGTAGTTTTTTTTTTCCTTAGAATAAATCATCGACAAAAAAATAATAATAATTTTTTCTTTTGAGCAGTTTGGACGATTTGATATCTTTGATAAAAACAAAATTAAACCAAATCAATCATAAACGGTTTGACAGTTTAAGCTCAAACTAAAGAAGTTTTCATTAATTCACAAAATTTATAAAACTTTGAGTTCATAAAAATAAAAATAAAAATAAGATTTAAATTTACAATATAATTCAAAAAAATAACAAATACTAAAAGTTCATTATTTTTTTGAACACTTCTATTGCGAATGGCGAAATTGGGTTGGGTCTAGCCCGACCTGGTTATGTTTTGGGCTTGACAAAACTAGATTGGCCTAAATATTTAAGCAAGCCAAGCACGGGCCAAAGAGTCAGGTTTTAGATCAGCCCGTTTGACTCGGTCTAAATTAACACCATATATTATATAAAAGAAGAAAGACAATAATGAATAAATGAGTATGCATTTTTATTAACATAATTGATAATATTATTATGAAATAGAATTGTAATATATAAAAAACATGAAAATGTACTCAACAATAAGCATTTTTATTATTTTAATAAAGATATTATTATGAAAACAAACTGAATATAAAAAGTCTATAAGAAATCTAAAACAACAAAAATACAGGACACGTGAATGCATAAAAAAAGACATTTCATGACAAGAATGAATATAATAATTTGCAACAAAATGACAATCATCTCAGTGAATTTTTTTTTTAAAAAAAAAATGCAAGATTAAAATCCTGGTAGAAAAAAAATATATATATCAATAGAAATGATGCCATCATATGCCTCCATTTCACTGAACAAGAAAACCATAATGATGCAAAATGAATTAAGAAGGAAAAAAAAAAAATCAATACCGTATATGATTAAAATAATTAAAACGTTAATGAAACCACATCACAAATATCTCCTCCCCTCACCAAATGATGAATCGATCTCTTATGATATTGAAGACAACACGACGACAAAAAAAAAAAAAAAAAAAAAAAAAAAAAAAAAAAAAAAACCCCCGCAGCCACGCTCAACGCAAAACTGCCCTCCCCCGGAAACAGTGGCTGAGGGAGGTGAGGCCCAGAGGGGGCATATGCCCCCCTGGATTTTTGATATTTAAATTTTAGTATATGTTTTCTCAAAGCTTTTTCATATATGCCCTCTTTATCAACAAAAATTTTAAATATATCCTCACAAAATTTAATCTCAAATTATTTTATTTCTTTATATTGTTCTTCGGGACTTAAGTAGCTGCACATTAGCTTAATGAAACGTGTTTTCCGCACACTGGCCGAGCATTTTCATGGGACAACAGTAACGAAATACGTGTAGATAATATGTACTTTCCACTAAAAAAAACAAATTTGAGAATTGGGTTTCGTACAATTTTGTCTCCGCCCTCTTTCTTGATCTTCCTCACCCCTAAAATCTCGTATATTCGTTCAATTATCCGAAATAAAAAGAGGGTGTTATGTATTATTTGAATCAGTGTCTCGAGAATCAAGCAAAAAAAAAAAAAAAAAAAAAGAAGAAAGAATCAGTGTCTCGAGAAGCCCAATAGAAGCAGAGAAATATGGAAGATATTGTACCAGAAGCAGAAGCCAAAGATCATGAAGATCATCAAGAGGGGTCCTCAAACCATTTTTTGCCAAAAGTGATTTGTGGGATGGGATCTGGAGAAGAGAGAGAAGATGAAAAGAAAAGAGGTGGGGTTATGAGCCATCTTATATCCAACTTTGTCTCTCCACCGAGTCCCAAGGCAGCGCAAAATGGCGAAGTTCAAAATGGGGTTTTTGTTTCGAAGTCTGAGGAAGATGTGGGAAATCATGGTGGGATCATGAACAATCTCATTTCCAAATTGTTCAATCACAGTGAAGATGTGAAACAAGGTGATGACGAGGGTAGTTCTGAGAAGAAGAAAGTTGACAAAGGAAGAAAGAAAGAGGAGAATGAAGAGGAGAGTGGGGACAACATTGTTTCTCACTTCCCAACTTCTATTCCAGGTAAATATTTTTAGATATCCTGATGGTAAGGAATTGTTATTTTTATTATTGGTAGGTAGTGTTATTTTAGCCGTCTGATTAGTTTTTCAGGGGTTTGATTATGAATGAGAACATCTAATGACTAAAAGTTATGTTTGGTACGAGAATTTTGATGGTTTAAACTCAGGTTCTGGTTTAAACCAGTGTGTTTATAAAAATAAAAATGTGGTTTGAACCCAGCTTAATAAAATTCATCTTTAGTTCAAATGAACTCTGATGTAATGTTTCAATCAATCTGAGCCTAAAGAAAACAAAAACCAATTCTTTGGGTTTGGCCCGTTTGAACCACAGGTTTGAACTATGTAGACGTGGTTCTACAGTGAAAACAAAGTAAATTATAAATTATAAATCACGAGAAAATTGGAATAACGGCCTTTTATCATCGTTAAGCAAATCCATATTTAAGCCAGAGTATTTAAGGGGATGTTTGTTTTTTATAGCTTCGTTCGTTTCGCTGATTCGAGTTTAGAATTCGAGTTGAGATGTAATTTTATGTTAGAGTTTTTTACTATAACAAAAAAATTAAATATGACTGTTTGTGAGAACTTTTTACTGTAACAAAACTCGAATTTGCGAAACGAACGAGACATATTTATTTTTTATTTTGAATCATGATTCATAATTATTTACAGTATTATTTTTTTATAAAAAATACACGTAAAATGAAAATAATTTTAAATCATAATTCTGAATTCATGAACTAAACGTCTACTAAGTATTCCTGAAATAATTTCATTAGCAAGCGAATTATAAACGAAAATAAATATAAAAATAACATTCAAAAGTAAATAGGAGATCAGTAGATGGGAGATCAAAGATGTATAGTGGTTCACTTACGTTCACTGTTTTTCTTCACTATCTGGGGAATGATAATACAAACACTCGGCCTCACAAAACACCCAAAATACGAATCTTGTTTATGAGTTTGCTTTTCAAGAGTCGGCTTGAGTGAACATTGGATTGTCGAATAACAATTTGAAGCTGTAGTTGAACGGTCCTTTTAGCAATCGATTCCATTCTCTCGGTTAGTAGGACTTGCATTCGCCTTTAGGGTCTTTGCAGGTTGTGAATATACCCAGATTTGGAGAACCTTGGGCTTGAGTGCGGATTCAGGCTCGACTAAGAATTTGGCTCGACATATCTCCGAACCAATTGTCGATCTGCATTACTTTAAGCGGCTTGATTTGCTTAATCGACCGATCGATTCCGTATTCCATGTAGCTTTTCACGGATCTAGATACTTTTTTCTTTTGGACTTGGTGGGATAGATAGTGATCTTGGGCTCGACTAGGAATTTGGGTTCGCCAAATTCAACACCAACAAACTACAGGTTGGTTCAAACTCAAAGGTTCGCCCGTTTAGTTTGTTAATTTGAGTTGATATGTAATTTTATGTGAGAGTTTTTTACTGTAGTAAAAAAATAAGATGTGACTGTTTCTGATAGTTTTTTTACTGTAGTAAAACTCAAATTCTAAACTCGAATCGGTGAAATAAACGAGACTTAGTTGGAACCATAAGTTCAAACCTCGCATTTTAAAACTCACATGGTTCAAACCTAAAGGTCCAAACCATCATGATTTGAACCCTATCATAAACTCAAATCAGCGAAATGAACGGGATTTTGTTTGAACTTTAAGTTCAAACCTCATATTTTAAAACTCACATGGTTCAAACCTAAAGGTCCAAACTATTCTGATTTGAGACTTATCCTGAATTCGAATCGGTGAAATGAACAGAACTTTAGTTTGAACCCTAAATTCAAACCTCGTATTTTAAAACTCACATGGTTCAAACCCAAAGGTTCAAACCATCTTGATTTAAACCCTACCCTAAAGTAATGGTTCCAATAATGAAAAAGAACAATTCTTGCCGTCAAAATTCCAATCTCTCTCTATGTTATTTTTTTTTTTTACCCATAAAGGAAAGTCATACAACTTTTGAATATAACTTGACATTCTTCGTGTGGTTTTTTATACAGATGATGCTGTTCCCACAACTGATGAGGCCTTCATTCTAATTCATTCCATTGTCAAAGACTAGCAATAACAAGCTTTGTTACATATTTTGTGTTTTTTTCTTCTTGTAAGTTTTGTTCCTCTACTTCATGATTTGTGTTTTTAGTTCCGGGTTGTCAATATTTTTGTTCAGCTTGAGTTGTCTTTATGTACTTTAACATTTCTGGTCATTTTAATGTTTTGAAAGATCCAAAGTCTCTGAAAGTTTCAGAGTGTTAGAAGAGGCTTAATTGGGATTTTGGTTGGAGATGCATTGTGGCAGAGTTAAGGCAAAATGTGAAATATATGCCATTCGCAGCAAAAGCAGCTTCTCCTGTAGTTGTAGTTGTTATTATCTTCATTGTTTCTTGCTTTTAGGGTTTTATTCTTAAATTTAAGGTTTTTAGCTTTAAGCTTTATGAAGCTTGAATGGCATCTATTGTTGTCGTCATTTTAGAGAAACTTTAGCAATTGTCAATTTTCACCTTTTGACTGTTCATGTTGTGTAAGATTCATTATTTACAAATCATAACAGAAAATTATAGCATATAAGCCCCAAATGCTACTTAAAAACATTATTTTTCCTTATCCTTCATGAAAAAAAATGAACTGAAGCTGCTCACTGTCCTGCAAGTGGGTATTTATCATCTCTTTCAAAGTTATCATCATTGACATATTACTTATTCTTGGAATCCTTCTTTATCCATTCTTTTTCTTATTGGATCATATAATGATTATGTGGCTTAAAATGCTTCTTTATCCATTCTTTTTCTTATTTGATCATATAATGATTATGTGACTTAACATTACAACCAAAACTTGGGTCAATCGTTGACAATCCCAACTAAAAGTTCCCAATTATGCAAGTGCACTCCGTGTAAAACATAATTTTGTGAGCAAAATGTCGAAAAAAGTATATGTGTGTTGTCTCATATAAAAAGTAGATGAAGATATAAAGTGGTTTATATAAAGTGATTTATATAAATAGAATGACTCTAAACCTAATGAGTTAACTTTTTGAGTCTAGTCAAGTTACTAAAGTGTGTTTGGTCAGTTTCATATATGATGTGTTGAATTATTTTTTAATAGTTGTTGTTGTTTTTTTCTTTTTTTTTGCTCTGAAGTTGTTGCTTTGATTGATTGACTTTATTGGCATTTTATTTGAGCTCCTATTTTAGCACACAAAGAGAAAAAAATTTATTGCGCAAACTGTTAGTAGTAGTTTTTCCCAACAAACGGGTATTAGAGCCGATGATTCGTATGAGTCAAGCGATCACACTCAGTTGTAGTTTCCATGTTACCTCTCCTAGAGAGTTGGTATTTCCGCAGTTGGTGCTGTTGTAGGTGCGGATGGTGAAGCATTTGGTGGAGTCACTTGGTTTCAGCTCTCTTTTCCATGCTCGAGATGACTCCGGTTTAGAGTGTGATGCTTGCATGTGTTGGTTACTTGAAACTTTGGTTCGAGGGGAATATCGGTGAACACACACAAGGAGGAGATTGTTGAGAAAAATATATGTGTGTTGTCCGACATAGAAAATGGATGAGGATGTGAAGTAGTTTATATACATAGAAGAACTCTAGACCCAATAGATTAACCTTTTGGGTCAAGTTGAGTTCCTAAAGTGTTGAGCTAATTTCATATGTGGTGTTTTCCCAACACAAAGTAAGCACCAAAAGTCCATATAACCTTTGAGTCCCTCAAAACTCTCTTCTAATTATTTGGACAACTGCCATATGCTGTATATGTGGGCATCATCTCGAAGGTGCCTTACGTTTTTGGCCCAACTGAAAGGAGCTAGCGAGCTGCTCCAGTTCTTTCTTTTTTTCTAGGAATTGGTTTTGTTTTTTTAATTAGAGAAATGCTAACAACACTCTTTTTATCACTTTCTTTATCACTCTCTATTCACTGTTTGACACATTGACTTTACTAACAAGATATATTATTATTTAAATAAAAAATGATATAGTAGAGTCCACGTGTCAAACAATGAGTGGATAGAGTGACCGAAAGAGTGACTCTAGCATTAGTGTCAGTTTAGAAATCCATTAGTGTCATCTCGTCCCCTATCTTCTTTGTCATTGATTAGTGTCCCTAGAATTAGTGTCAGTTTAGAAATTAAAAAAAAAAAAAAAAGATTCACTAGTGTCATCTCATCCATTATCTTCTTTGTCACTTTAGAAATCCAGAGACTTACTAATAAAATAAAAAAAGACCTGTCACACTTCTACTCGAAGGATGGCCCAACGAAACTTCTATCTTCTTTCTACTTCTTGTTTATAATTTTCTCTAATTTAGCATGTTTTCTATTATATATTTATACAAATACATAGGCTACATTTAGAATTATTTTTTAGTTATTTTTAAAAATATTTTTGCACGTCTTTTGAGGCACGAAATAAAAACGGTCTATATATCGCGTTTGTTTAATAAAAATTTTGAAAACGGAAATAAAAAATAATGAGAATGATTTTTATAAAGAAAGTAGAAAACGATTGAAAATTGTTTTTCCTTTTCCGTTTTCATTTTCTAGTACTTATCAACAAAGTTATATTAAACAATTAATCATTAATTACTAATTATATTATATATTAAAAAATAGATATACTTAATAACTAATAAATAAATAGTAATTACTTAATTATTAATTAAATATTAATACATTACTAAGTTTTTAATTTTATTAATAAAATAATAAATAATATAGTAATTAATTATTTAGTTAAAGATTAATTGCCAAAAATTAATTATATAACATATATTAACAGTAAAAAAAGTAATAATAGGTTATTAAATAATTAATTAATAATTAATATATCAATCATATATTATGTTAATTAGTAAATATTTAGTAAATAAAAAAATAGTAATTACTCAATTAATAATTAATATTAAATTATAATTATCAATATGTAATATACTAATTATTTTTTAATACACTAATTAATTACTTATAATCTAATAAATATGAGTACATTACTGACATAGAAACTACTTATAATTAATTACTAATTACTATTTTTAATTATTTAGCATATTAATTTATTATATATATTGTTTAATTATTAACGTACTCATTAATGATAATTTATCTATTATTATTATATTATTAACATATTAATTTTTATTTGCTAAATAATTATCAATTATTAATTACTTAATATATTAATTTATGATTATTAATTACATGTACTCAAAACAAATATAAATGTAACCAAACATGATTTTATTTTTTTATCATACCCAAACCAATCTCTTGAAAGACCACCAAACGTAATTTCAGAATCAGTTCTAGAATAATTTTCAAAACAATCTTATTTTTATTTTTATACCGAAAACAAAATTATTTTGAAAATATTACCCCATAATATTTGTGGATACAATTTTCTACCTTTTTTCTAAATATATATTGTGGACACTATTGGTTCCTAGGACATGAGGGTAGAGAGAGAAGTAAAGAAGGTCACCTTAGACGAGAAGTGATGGGCATTGTCTCCTAAAGTTATTATCTCTAGTCAATTATTATTTTTTTTTTCTGGGACGAACCTTTATTCCATATAACTCAATTTTGCCTGCTCCTTTACTCTTGTGGGTGACAAAGGAAATTTCTTTGTCTTGAGTCGTATCAACGTCTTATGACCATGAACATAAGTTAAAGTGCCTTTGAAATCCAATTGACAAAGGAGTTTGCCTTGTTTGGATTTGATGAAAGGCAAAAGTAATGAGCTCTTTCCACACTACAAGAAAAAGGCATTTTTGCGACGACAAAAATTCGTCGCAAAAAACCGCATGTCGTCGCAAATAACTATTTTTACGACGACGTGTCGTCGCAACTGATTAGTCGCAAAAACTTTTTTTGCGACGACATCATGTTTTTATGACGACAGGCGTCGCTAATACGCCGTTGCAAAATTCTCATGATATTATAATTTTTTGCGACGACATTTCAAATTATCGTCGCAAATAACCTTGTTTTTTTGTGACGACAAATCTAAAAAAGTCGTCGCAAAAACCCGAAATAAATTTTTTTTAAAATTTTTTAAAAATGGCAATTAATTAATTTTTAATAATTTTAATTAAAAATTATTATGTTATAATTTATTAAGATACATTAAAAGTGAAATATAAATTAATATTAAAAACAGTAAATCTAATGAAGTGCATACATAATGTTTAAAAAAATATAAAAGTCTAAATAAAGTGAAAAATAAAATAGTACATATAACGGAACTAATCGTCTAAGTTTGCAGCATCGCCAACAGCTGAATCATCATCAGGACTGTCATCATCTGAAGGATGCAGAAGAGCATCTAGGTCAACTGGTTCCGGATGATCAATCGTAGGTAATTGGATGTTTAGCTGCAATTTAGCCATCAACTCTAACACCTTCACATGATTGTTATATAACTTAACTTGTTCCTGGTATGTTTTCTTTAAATAACGACTCACACGTGGGTCAGGTTAAGCCGATGATGTTGCATCCGAGTATGAACTAGCAGATGAAGGAGAAGTCCCGGAGTAATGCTTTTGGGAGAGCTTCGGACCCACTCCTATCTTATGTTCTCTACGCATGCCAAGAACTTGCTCCAAAACCCCATGTTCGTCAAAGGCAGGTCTAGTCGAGCTTGAAGTAGACTGTGTTATCTGCGTTTGTCTCTCCTCCTCCAGGGTGTTCTACATAATATAAGACATTATAATTGTTTTTACGTCTTATAGAACCACTATTTCAGTGTAAAAAAATTTAATATGAAAAGAAAAAATACTTACAAAAGTCTGTTCCACTTGGGGATTAACCCAAGAGGCCCCGCGACAATGCATGTCCGCCCAATTGTCGTATCCCTGTTGGCAATAATCGTTGCATTATGATGTGACAATCATGTAATTTTAGCCCCGTAATTTTATTCTTCCCTTCGTGCATAACCACAGAGGTAAATTGTAAGTCGTTAAAACCACGGGCCACAAACTGTATGAGAGGCTCATGTTCCCGAAAGGATTGAAACCATCAGCGGCCAACCCCAAGCGAACATTTCTCGGCTCACGTGAAAACTCAGGATACTTTTCATCTACCAATTTCCATTCATTATCATCGACTGGATGACGCATTATATCATCATCATTTGAACACCCATGCTGGTACCACATCATATCTTTAGCTGTGTGACGAGAACCGTACAGACGCTTCAACCGATTTGTTAACGGGAAATAACGTAGTACTTTCCACGGCACTTGGTTAGTACCCGTTGTCTTTTTTTTCTTCCAACAGGATGTTTTACATACGGGACACGTTTGTAGATCAGCGTTCTCCTTCCAAAACAAAGCACAATCG